TAAAGCATTTTTAAAATTTTGTTCATTTTCAAAATATTTTTCCATTAGAGTAATTAATTCAATTTTTTTATACTTTTTTGAATTAAGTAATTCTTTCATTTTTTTTTGAACTATTATGACATCTTTATCTATAATAATGTTATATTAATTAAATATATTTTAAAATTGATATAAAAAATATTGATTATGAATAAAATTTAAAGTATAAATATTTAATTAATTCTTACGAAGTATATGTGGAGCATCTGAATTTAATTTGATGCCTGATTCATACAAAAATTCAATAAATTTACAATTTATATTAGAATTTGTATTAACATTTTTTTCCAACATGATTGAAACATTTGGTAAATTTGTATGTTTGTTAGTTTCATATTCATTTCGTATAGTGTTACAATCATCTCGCTTTTTCTTTAAAATTGTAGATTCTGCCAAAGGAAAACCTAAATCATCGTCACTATCATACTTTAATGTATCATAATTTGACGATTTTCGTTTACGTGATTTTTCATTTATTTTTTTCTTATGTATTTCATGTAAAAATATATCGTCATTTGATGATTTGTTTTCACCTATAAATATTTAATTTAATAATTTTTTTAATTTTAAAATATTATATGAACTTACTTTGTGTTGAAAAAACTTTTCCAGCTAATAATGTACTATTATTTTTTGGTAACTGTTCAATTAAAGATCTGGTTTCATATATATCACTTGTTGAAGATACTTGACTACTTATTAAATTTTTATGTAAACTTTTAAATTTTAATTTTCTTTTATCCATTATCAATCTATCATAACCACACGACAATCATACGTCCTTTCGCGCGAGAAAATAATGAAATTTAAACATTTATATATAAGTACTTTCATACTATAAAAGTAAAAAGAACTAGTACAGTTTGTATTTCGAGCTTTTCTTAAAAAAATAATAATAAAATAAAATATTTAATAATTTATAAATAATATAAATTAATAAAGTTCCTCAAATATAAATGTAAATAATAAAATATTCGACAATCTATATATAAAATTTATTCATATTATTTTTATATATAAAATATTTGTATTTAATTTTAAAATAATATTGGTAATACTGATAATTAAATATCATTCACAATAAAATATGAATAAATATTGACAAATCATGTCGAAATTAAATTATTAATTTGAGATATCAAAGTGACAAAAAGTAGTGTATGTTTAATATATAATTATATGTAAATTATAAAAATATGTCATCAACTCATTTATCAACTGGACGTCTAAATGTAGGAATAATACAGAAACAAGCAAGAAAACAATTACTTTGCTTACTTGAAAAGTGTGATGGTACAAAGGTATTAATAATAACCTTTATTATATATATTGTTGCTGTAATTAATGAATTTATAAAATATATTATATTATATAATAAAAATTTATTTATAATTTAATTTAAAATATAATTTAAAATATAATATAATTATAGTATTTCTTACTTAATTATTTTATGTATTTTTTTTATGTTGTAAACAAATATATAATATACTAAAAACATTTCTAATAATATTTTAATAGGCAATTATATGGGATCAATCTCTTGCAGGACCAATTGGTCTTGTTGCAAAATATAGTTTGCTTGAAGAACATGATGTTGTCAAAATGTATCCTTTATGTGGTGGATGTTTAACAATACCATCAAATATTGTTAATATAATATTTATAACAAGACCGCAATTAGGTCTTATGGATTTAATTGCTGAAAATGTTCATGGGTATAAATTGAAAAAGATTATATATAATTTCTAATTATATAAATAATTAATAAAATATTATTATAAAATTTATGTAATAATTAATTTCTAGTGAAGAAGGAAAAAGGCCACGCAAAGAATTTCATTTATTCTTTGTACCAAGAAAAAGTCTTCTTTGTCAAAAGAAACTTCAAAATCGAGGTGTTTTTGGCAGTTTTACATTAATAGAAGAATTTAAATGTGATTTATTTCCTTTTGATAATGATCTTCTTTCCATGGAATTAAGTGGATCATTTAAGGAGTTTCATTTAGAAAATGATCCCACTTGTTTATATCAAGTTGCACAAGCTATTCATAGTTTACAAAAATTATATGGAAAAATTCCTAAAGTTACTGGCAAAGGACCTGCTGCTAATAAAGTTTGGGAATTATTAGAAAGATTAAATAGAGAAGAAGAGGATAATAAAACATCTGTTCAATCATTTACTATAGAACATTTGTTGTTATTAGATCGTTCTGTAGATTTGCTTTCACCTTTAGTTACACAATTAACATATGAAGGATTAATAGATGAAATTTTTGGGATAAAATATAGTTGAGTTTTTTAAATTTTAGTATATTTTATAATAATTTAAATAATGATTTAAGTAATAATAATAACAATTTTTTAAAAATAATTTTATTTTGATTTTTATATCAGTTTATTAAAATATTATAATTTTAGATACTGTACAGCTACCAGCAAGAAAATTTCATGATTCTCAAGATTCTCCAACAACAATGACACTTAATGAAAAAGAACAAATTATACTTAATTCTGGAGAAGAATTATTTGGAGAAATCAGGTAATTCTATTTATATTTTTAAATTTTAATATCATTTATTTTATTATATATTTTATTATATTATTATATAATTTTTTAAATTATAGAGATAAAAATTTTAATGGAGTAGGACCTGTTTTAAGTAAAAAAGCTAAAGTTATTTCATTACAATTTGATGAAAGACATGGAGATAAAAGTGTACAAGAAATTAAACAATTTGTAGCACGTTTACCACATATGTTAGCTACTAAGCAATCATTAGCAAAACGTAATGTTCTTTTATATAATAATATTAATATTATTATTACAATAATAAATATCACTAATTTCATAAATACATTTTTATTTCTTTCTTAGATACAACAATAGCAGAAATGATAAAAGAAGTTACAGATTCCAGTAGCTTTTTAGAATCATTACAAATTGAACAAGAGTTATTAAATTGTATAGATACAGATAAACCAAATACTTATATAGAAGATATGATAGTACAACAACAACCACTTTTAAAAGTTTTACGACTACTTTGTATACAATCTTTAACGAATTCTGGACTTAAACCAAAGTTATTAGACTATTATAAAAGAGAAATAATACAAACATATGGATATCAAAATTTACCAACTATATTAAATTTAGAAAAAGCTGGATTACTAAAACAACAACAATCTACACGCAAATATACAGTATTACGAAAAGCATTAAGACTTACTGTTGAAGATGAAAGTGAAATTGCACCAAAAGATATTAGTTATGTTCATTCTATATATGCACCATTAAGTGTTCGATTAGCAGAACAACTTGTACAACCCAATGGTTGGCAAGGTTTAAATGATGTAATGGGATTATTACCTGGTCCTACTATTAGTAGTGTACCATATAGTCATATACCATCATCCGCAAGAAGTAAGAAATATGTATAAATTTGTGTTTATCAAGATATTTTCAATTATATAAATAATTTATTGTAATTTATTTTTTAGGAAATTCTATTACTAGTGAAGATTCTAATTCAGAACCACCGAAATTAGTAATGGTTTTTTTTATTGGAGGATGTACATTTGCAGAAATTTCTGCTTTAAGATTTTTATCTCAACAAGAGGATTGTAAGTAATATTAATATTTTATTATGTTATTAAAATTTTATAATTAACTTTTCATTTATTTATACAATATATTTTAATCAAAATTGATTCTATTTTCAGTGAATGTAGAATTTGTTGTCTGCACTACAAAACTAATAAATGGAAATACGTTCTTAATGTCGTTAATGGAAAATTTAGAAAGTATATGATTTAAGAAAATTAAACATTATTTTGTGTAATATAATCTATTTTATACATAACATTTACATATATTTTCTTAAAAATATGTGTAAACTTTTTCTCTTTTTTAAATATATTCTTTATTAAGTATATTAGAAAAAAACTGTATAATACATATATGTGATAGTTGTGATAAAAGCTTAAATATTTATATTTTACTTTTGAATTTGTCATAAGCATTTCAATTACATATATAAATATATATTATATATTATATACATTATATATATTATATATTATATATATTATATAAAATAGAAATTATGTATTATCAAAAAAATCATTTTTTCTATATCATATTTATAATATAAGTTAAATATAATTAATTAAATATTAAGTTAAATATATAACATAAATAATAAACATAATATAATAATATATAGTAATAATATATAGTAATATACTATATAATACATATTATATGTATCATATAATAATATATTATAAATACATGTTATATATATTATTAAATTATATTATATTATATATATAGTAAATTAATAATTTTCATATTGCAGATTGGATAAAATTAAATTTATTTTAATTAAAAATTATAACATTTTTTAAAAAGTTATAAACTTAAAAAGTTTTTATAAATTAATTTGAAAATCTTATTTATATAAAATAGAATTATATTTATGTGATAATTAATTTTATCAAAAATAATTTTATTTTCATATGTATTTATATTATTTTAGATATGTAATAAAATTATATAAAATTTATCAATAATTTTATATAAAAATTATATAATAAATTAATATAATAATATATATAATATAATATAATAAATTATAAAACATTTTTATTAAATGCATTTTTTTATGTATCTAAAATCTAAAAATATTAAATTAATTTTAAATAAAATTTTTTCTATGTTGTTATATTCTAATGTCATCATATAATTTATTGTTTTTATTTTATATTTTAATTTGGTAATTTAATATATAATTATTTTTCATTATTATCATTTTCAAAGCATTTTATTAAAATTATTAAAATTGGTAAAGAAGTAATTCGTAGTTATCGATAATATTTTTTAGTTTAATATTTGACCAACATAGAGCGCCACTCATCATTGACGGAGAATTCGCCTGCTGTAGAGTACACTCAGGCCAGACGAAAAGGCGTCAAAAAGTTTGCGAATTCTCGTGTGTGGCCGATAGTGGGTGCCGTATTGCGTTGCCGCGGATTGTCGCGTCTCGCGCGTGTGTGCGTACGTGCGTGACACGTACGAGGCGTGTACTTTTCCGGGGTGCGGTGCATTTGCACAACGAAAAATTGTGTTCCTCGGATCTTAATATGCTCGAAGGATCAGCCAAGTTCAGGAAAAAGAGGTGCTCCGCCTAAAGAGAGTGTTCGGAGCTGCGCGCATGCTTCTGTGCCCGCTCCTTCGCCATTTTGGAGGTGAATATCATTTTTTTCCTTGTTGCCGAAGTTTTGGATAAATTTCAATTGATATACTAAGATCTGACTGTAATATTGTACATTCGATCCAAACACGGCAAGCGTTTTCGGCTACAACGACAATGTCCCTTTACTGCATTTATGGGACCAATCTGACGCGATTGCTACGAGTCAGAGACCCAACCCTCCTTACGCCCGCATTTCTCCTGCGAATTTTACTCGACCGCCTTTTTTACTTATCAGTTTCAATTTTATAATTATTTTTTATTTTCTCATAAAAAGTTTGTTTAAAAGTTTTAAATATTAGTGATACATTCGCTTCGATTTTTTTTAATAAAGAAAACTATGTTCCGTTTAAAAACATATGATATTTATTCAAGTCAGATGAGTTTCTATCTAATGGTAAAGAACTATCGATGTCTTTTTGCTATCGATGTTATCGATAGTTTCTTGATAGTTTTGAAAAAAATAAATATATATATATAATGAAAATTTAGTAATATAAATACATTTTATAATATTATATTTGATTTTTATATTTTATTTTATATTTTTATGTGTATATGTATAATGTTTTATCTTATTATTTTTTAATTATGATTTAAAAATGTTAACATATCGATATTCTTAAATTTTAATTTTGATTTTTTTTTCTAATATTAATATTCTAGTGAAAAAAATATTTTTTCATTTTTTATTCATATTGTCAATATATAGAAATAGTTAATAGAAATATATATAGAAATATATATATATATAGAAATAATATAGAAATATATATATATATATATATATATATAGAAATAATATAGAAATATATATATATATATAATAATTTTTTATCTATCTTTTTTTGTATCTTTTAATAGAGTAAAGGATCTATATCTTTTGAGACATTTGATTTTTCTAAATATTGCCTTTTATATAGATAATACCAGATATTAATATAAATATTTTTAAATACTTTTTTTTTTTATTAAAAAATCTTTAAAAAAAAAGAATTAGAATTATTTTATTTTTTCAGATGATTACTTAATATTTACAAGAATTGTTTTTTATTTAATATGTTAAGTTTAAGAAAATTGATATTTGCAAATTGTTATAAATTAATTTTCTTTCTTTTGGTTTTAATAGTATTTTTATGTTTGTCTGTTTTGATATATTCCACAATAATTGATGTGATATTGTGACATATATTTCTTAATATTTGTTTTGTTTCTGCATCAAATATTTCTAAAATATTCTCTATATCCTAGAAATAAAATTTGTTTCTTTAATTATAAATGGTACAAAAATTTTTTTTAATTGTAGCCTGTTGTGATAATTTTCTTTTAAGAAATAATTTTATTTAGTTAGCTATTCTAATATATATGAATTTGTATGATTTTATTTCTAAATCAAGATTATTTTGTTCTGAAATGTAATACATAATATATTTTCAAAGCTACTGCAAATATCAATTCAAAATTTATATTTAAAGTTCAAATAAAAGATTTCTTGATAAATAAAAGATTTTATTTCTTTGAAATTGCACAGATATGTTTTATTATTTGTGTATATTATTGTGTAATATTATATGTAATTTTTCTATAACAGAAAAATATATCATTTTAAAATATTTATCTCTTAATGAAAATTTTGAAATAAAATACAAGATTATATTTTAATAAGATTTTTAAAATCTTTATCATTTGCAATACTAAATAATTGAAAATTAACAATATATTAACAATTATTAACAATCATTAACTTTTTTCTTTTAGATTATTATATAATGATTTTTTTTTAAATTTATTGATTTTATATTTTGAATTGTTATTATTGTTTTTTAATAAATAGATATATGAGATGAATAATTTGAATTATAATGATAATAATTGTATTGATAAAAAATATTGATAAAAAAATTATACATATAGTGATCAAAAAAAGTATTTATATACTTTTCAAACAAAATAATCTTTTTATAATTGAACTAAACAACAAATACATAAAGTTTTCATCCAAGTCAGTTAATATTGTTCTAATAATAAAAATATAAACATTTAAAGATACAGAATAAAATCGAAAATTGCTGATTTTGATCAATCTTATTATTAATATATCTTATTTGAATATAAATATAATAATATGAAAGATATTTTTTTTTAATTTTTATTATAGAATTCAGATAAAAAAATTTCCATTTTCTTTGCATTTTTAAAATTCTGATTTTTCCAACACATACCTAATAAATTAATTTCTTTCTATAAAAATTCAAGTCAAACTTAAAAGATAAAAATATAAATTTGATTCAATTGTAAAAAAATTATTTTTTTATAATTTTCTAATATAAGATAAAATAAACATAAGGAATATGTGAATATTTTCTTTAAGTCTAGAATAGGTTAGGTTAAAAAGAAAGATTAGTTAATTTGAATTAAAATATTAAAGACATGTTAAATAGTAAAATGAAGAATTAAGACTAATAATCACAAAATATCAATAAATATAATAATATAATAGATAGAAAAATCTATTGATTATTTCTAAATATGTAGTATATAGTATTTTTAAAATCATTTTATATGGTTATTTAGATTGTATATTTCCATTTATTTTGTATTTCTTCTTACAGATAAGGTATTTTATCAATTTTTTATCTTTAAATTTCTCAAAAATTTATTTGAAAATTTTATATATGAAATATGAATCACTTTTATTGTTGTACCTTAATTATGAATATTCATTCTTTTTATTAATAAGTTAAAATAAAAAATAAATAAGTTAAAAATATCACATTGTATACTATATACATTGTATACTATATTATTTTATTTTAAAGAAAATATTAAAAAAATAGAACTTTTTCTTATTTCTGTAAAATATCTTTTTATATTTAAATATGTAAAAAAAATGAAAATATACGGAATATTTATAAAAGTAAGTGAGTGAAAATGAAATAAATAAGAATTAAGAATAATCTATAATATTCAATTAATAAAAAAAATAATCACATAATTATAAATATCATATTTACTTATTTTAAAATTCACCGACTTTAATAGAATAGCTGTCAAATCAAAACTCAATATGCCATAACCTCAAAAGCCACGTGTCTTTAAAATTATAAATTAATGATAGAAGATGATAATATGTTATATTAAAAATAAAGTTTAAATTTAATGATATATTTTGTATATAATTTTTAATATATTTAATAAAATGTATTAAAATGATTAATTTCTATATCCTACAATTCATCTACAATCCACTTTCTCTTTCGATAATTTTAAGATTTTTTTTTTTAAGAACTATCGAAAATATCGATAGTGTAAAAAGCTATCGATAATGATTTTGATAATGTTAGCTATCGATAATATCGATAATGCTATCGATGCTAGTTCTCCACCTCTATTTCCACGGATAGAATGGTATGTTTCGTATTGAGGACCTCGTGATAAGTGTCAAGTCTCATTTTAATCATATAAAAATACATTTGTAGTGAAAAGAAATCTTTATTTATACTTTATATACTATAAATTTATGTATTTATATTTGTTAAATATTGTTTATTATTGAGTTTATTAAAAATTTGTTGCTGTTAATGTGTTATAAAAAATTAAATTAAGAGAAATATGAAATTAAGGTATGTGAATCACAATGTATCAAAATATAATATTATATATTATATGTATTATTATATTTAATTAAATACAATTTATACTATATAAAATTGTATAGAAGATTGTTGTGAATTTATTTTTGATAAAAAACACATTAACTATGCTTTGTTTTTTATTTGCTTTGTATTTTATTTATTATACTTTATATGAAACACATTTACATATTTTAATATTGAATAAAATTAAAGATAGTATAAATAAATTAATATATTTAAATTTAAAATAATATAAGATAAATTAGTTTATTTATTAATTGTCAAAGAAATTAAGAATGTTTTTTTTCACAGATAGAATGTTAAATTTTGGAATGGACTGACAGAGAATTAAGTAAAATTATAAAATTTAGAATAGAAGATTGAAAAATAAGAAGACGTCAAAACTCTGTCTGAAATAGGCCTTGGCTTTATATAATTATTAATACTTTACTATGCCAGCTGTTCCAAGGCCTGGTAGCCTTAAGGACCCAGAGATTGCTGAATTATTTGAAAAAAATGATCCGGAGAAAATATTTGAAGATTTACGTGAAATCGGACATGGTAGTTTTGGGGCTGTTTATTATGCACGATGTTTGGTTACCAAAGAAATTGTTGCAATCAAAAAAATGTCATATTTGGGAAAACAAACTGTTGAAAAATGGCAGGATATCTTGAAAGAAATTCGTTTTCTTAGACAACTTAATCATCCTAATACAATAGAATATAAGGGTTGTTATCTCAGGGACCACACTGCCTGGGTAATTTTTAGAATTATTTTAATAAATCAATTTTTAAATAATGAATTTTTTTAATTACTTATGGCATGTTGTAATTTTTTAAATTGTTAATAATGAATTACAATAATGAATTAATTGTATAAATTAATTATAGTTGGTAATGGAATATTGCCTTGGTTCTGCATCAGACATTATTGAAGTTCATAAGAGACCATTAAAAGAAGATGAAATAGCTGCAATTTGTGAAGGTGTATTACGTGGTTTGCACTATCTTCATTCTCTAGGAAGAATTCATCGAGATGTAAAAGCAGGAAATATTTTACTTACTGAAAATGGTACAGTAAAATTGGCAGATTTTGGATCTGCAAGCATAAAATGTCCAGCAAACAGCTTTGTAGGAACTCCTTATTGGATGGCACCAGAAGTCATATTAGCTATGGATGAAGGACAATATGATGGGAAAGTGGATGTATGGTCTTTAGGAATAACATGTATTGAATTAGGTATTAAATTCAATTTTAATTTTTTTATTTTTAATTAATTTATTTTTGAAATTTTTTTTATTATTTATTTTTTATTTAAAAAAGTTATTTAGAATTATAATAAAATATTTATTAAATCATATTTATTTTAGCTGAGCGCAAACCACCTTATTTTAATATGAATGCTATGAGTGCTTTGTATCATATTGCTCAAAATGATACACCAACTTTAAATTCTCCAGACTGGTCAGATGTTTTTCGTCACTTTGTTGAAGTGTGTTTAACTAAAAGTCCAACTGAAAGACCAGCCTCTGGTAAACTGCTATCAGTGAGTTTTTTTTACTAAAATTTTTATTTTATTTGCAATAATATATGAATTTTTTGCTCATTTATTATTCACATAAATAGATATACTGTAGTTTAGTTAGTTGTTTTCTTATAGGCTTTCAATTTTACAGCATCAATTTGTCACCAGAACACGTTCTCCACAAGTTCTAATAGACTTAATTCAGAGAACAAAAGCTGCTGTTAGAGAACTGGATAATTTAAATTATCGAAAAATGAAAAAGATTTTAATGATCGATGCTTGTGAGACTGAAAGTACAGTTGGTGATGCTGATGGTATGAGAAATTTTCAAAAACTTTAAATTATAATAATTGTTTATATTCTAATTTGATTCAATTTTATTTATGTTTTTATTCTTATAGATACTCCTGATGAACAAACAGGTGGTGATAGTAGCAAGAGTAATTCAATTACCTCAGAACATTCAATTCATTCAATGGGCGTTTCTGCAAGCTCTCAAAGTTCCTCCACCAATAGCCTGCCACTGCCAAATGCTGATGCAAATGATTATTCTACAGGATCTGTACGAAATAGACATAAAATATCAGCAGGCGGTGTCACTGCCAATCTTCTTGAACATGGTGCCAATAATTTTGCAACAATTAGGACAACATCAATTGTAACTAAACAACAAAAAGAACATATGCAAGAAGAAATGCATGAACAAATGAGTGGATATAAACGAATGAGACGTGAACATCAAGGTGCTTTGGTAAGTGTTATTAATTTATTAATACATTTAATTTATTTAAATTACATTTTATTTAGATAATTAAAAATCATTTTTATTGGATAATATATTTAATTTGTTTAAATAGGTAAAATTAGAAGAACGTTGTAAAATGGAAATGGAATCCCATAAACAATTATTGGACAAAGAATATGAAACACTTTTACAACAATTTAGCAAAGAATTAGAAAAACTTCAATTAAGACATTTGCAAGAATTAGAACGTAAACTTAAACAAAATCAAAATGCTGAAAAGAAACTTCACAAAGAAATTACAAGTAGACAAGAAGCAGATCGAAAAGCATTAGAAGCACAACAAAAGAAGGATTATAAGGTGAAATAATAAATATAATAATAATTATTATTTTGTAAATATTTTAAAAAATTACAAAAAATTATCTTTATGTTTTTTTGATAGTTTTTGATAATTTAGTAATTTTTTAAGGTTTACAAAGAAAGATGGAAAAAAGAATTATCTCAGGATGAAGTTACACCGAAGCGGCAACGAGATGCTACACTTCAAAGTCATAAAGATAATTTACGACAAATGGAAGCACAAGAAGAACAACGGCTTGCAAGAGGACAAAGGGAATATCTTGATCTCGAAATTCGTAAATTCCGTAGAAAAAAGCTACTTGTTTTCCATAGTTTGGAGCAAGAATTACTTCGAGAAGTTAGTATAATATTTTTTTTTTTCATTATAGAATTTTTTTCTTATTTGTTAAATATATTTTTCTTATATAGGAATTAAATAAAAGACAACAACAATTAGAGCAAGCACATAATATGTTATTAAGACATCATGAAAAAACACAAGAATTAGAATATAGACAACAAAGAGCAGTTCATGCTTTGAGAGAAGATCAAGTTCATCGACAACATGCTACAGAACTTTCTAATCAACAGGATTATATGCAAAGAGCAGAACGTGATTTACGTAAAAAACATGCATTGGAACTCAAACAACAACCTAAGAGTCTCAAAGTAAGTAATATGTTTTAGTTTTTTAAAATAATAATGTATATTTTATTGAAACAATAAAAAATGACAGCTAAAAAAATATTAAAAAATAAAAAAATATGAAAATTTGAAAATTTTAAATATATGTATTTATTTTAGCAAAAAGAAATGCAAATTCGAAAACAATTTAGAGAAACATGTAAAATACAAACACGACAATATAAGGCATTAAAAGCTCAAATATTACAAACAACAGCTAAAGAAGAACAAAAAGCTGTTATAAAAAAATTAAAAGAGGAACAAAGAAGAAAATTAGCTTTATTGGGTGATCAATATGAACAAAGTATTGCTGAAATGCTCCAAAAACAAAGTATACGTTTAGATGAATCACAAGAAGTTGAATGTCATAATCTTAAGGTAAGATTTAAAAATTATAAGATCTCAAAAATTTTTTCTTTAAACATTTAATATTATTTAATAAGTTTCTAGAAATGTTTTTATTTAATAAAAAGAATTTATTATGATTATATACGGATTTACATTATAATTTTAAAATTTGATTTAAATAATACTTAAAGTAAATTTAATACTATAACTATTAAGACTAAGTTAATATTTTATATAATAATTATTTTTTATAGGAAAGATTAAATTATGAATTAGAAATGTTAATGGCTTATCAATCTAAAAATAAAATGCAAGCTGAAGCGCAAAGAAACAGAGAACGTCGTGAGTTAGAAGATCGAGTATCAGTTAGAAGAGCATTGCTTGAACAAAAAATGGAACTTGAAACTCAGGAATTTCTTCGTGAACGTAGTGAGCGAATACGTTTATTACATGAAAGACAGGAACGTGAATTACAACAATTTGACGAGGAAAGTGCAAGAATAGGATTCAGGTATGTAATTTATATTATAAGCTTATTAGAATAAATTTCATAAATATTAATGAAAGACGAAAATATTTCAATTGTTTCCTTTTATATTTCTACATTTTTAAAGCATTTTAAAGTTATGTTAAACATTCATCGTCATTTTATAAAATATAAAAATAGATTTAAGAATTTAAAAAAAAATATTGTAGATATATACATTTTTTCAAATTATTGCAGTGCTCTGGCGATAGCTGAGGCATCAAAAGAATCTTATCCAGACGATGAAAGCCTTAGTGGCTCAATGTTAAGTCTGGCTCACAGTAATAGTTCTACATCCTTCCCCCCTAATAGTCTTTAATTTTAATCATATTAATAGAATATGTATGTATGTACGTTTGCCTGTAGTGAATGTATAACGAGCCTATCTTTGTTTAATTCAATGATTTACATATATAGTAAAAGTTGGCTCGTTATATGCATCGACCCAAACCTAAGAGAAAGGTTTGTTAGGGTTGGGAATGTGTATTGGACTGAAATTAATGTAACAGCATATTTTTTAATTATCAAAATATGTCAATGTGATCTATCTGGAAAGAGAGCTTCATATTGAAGAAGAACTTAGATGCTTTTTGCAACGTTGTAATATTTATTAATCATATCCAAATACTTTGTGAACTAAATAGGATTAAAAAAGAAAAAATCTTTTAAGTATCAGTCTCATCTACTATGAAAAGTAAATTTTAATGTTCTTGGGCTTGAAGTAAGCCAACTATCATAGCATACAGAAAATTTTATATGCGACAGAAAATGTTTAGAGACATTTATTTATCAATATCTTGCAATTATAATAATAAAAAAAAAATAGTATAATCATAATGCTCGAATTATTATACATTTGATTTTGATTAATTGAAGATTTGAAATAAGAATAAAACAAAAATAATATTTTCGGTAAGATTTTAACTTATCAAAGGTCTCTAGTATTAAATAATCTTACTGATAAATACATGTGTTGACCTTTGAAAACTTATTTCAAGCTTTCAATAATACTTAGTCTGATTTAATTGAGTGATTTATTTATTTAATTGCATTTTTAATGCAATTAGGATATTTACAAAGTGACAAACTGAAAAAATTTAGTTACAATATTTTATGTTGTAGTTATAATAACATTCATGATATATAATATTTGTTATTTTAACGAGAGAGATTAATTTCTAAAATTGAAAGACATTTTTTTACTATTTTATACAATTTGTTTTACATTACTAAGAAAAAATGTCAATATCAAAAATTAAATTGATAATAAAATTATTGTTGAATTACCAAAATATGACAGTGTCCACTTCAAATTCCTTTCAATATTGAAATGTATCTTCTTGATTTTAATTTAATATTATTAAGTATGAAGTCTTAATGCGATTATTTGTAATTATTTAAATGATTACGTTAATTTTTTTTTTTGAATATATGGTATATATTTTTTAAATTATCATGTTATCATTCATTTGTCACAAAAGAAATAGGAAACCATTTTATACAATGGGAAATACCTAAACAATTAAGTAACAATTTATAATTTGAATTTTTAAGAAAATAAAAAAAATAATGTACTATGTAAGAAATATTTGATATTATATTTAGATATTTTATAACTATAATATGCTCAATTACATATTTTAAAATCATAATAATGTTACTGAATATATTGCTGGTGAATTAATATAATTTTGTATTAATATTTTTAAATACTTATAAAATACTGATAATTAACATTTAATTATTTTATTAATATCATAATATATTAAGATTATTAATTAACAAATTTTTATAATTTGTTTTCAATAATTAAAAATAATTTTATATAAAAAATGTTTTTATATTATTTTTGTAGCAATAAAAACATGGAAAAAATAAAAGATAAAATAAAAAATAATTATTAAGATAATATTAATAAAATATCTAAATATATAGAAAACATCAAATATTTTTGTATTTTTTAAATATTTAGTTTTGTTTTTTAAAAAGTGGAAAATGATTTAAAAGATATCTTTTAGGTACCCATGTATATATTGTCAAATATTAAAATTTTTGCTATTTAATATAAATAACATGAAAATAAATATTATTTTTATTACAAAATATTTCTTTTATTATATTTAGAAAAAATTAAAATATATATTTTTTTGATTTTTTTGATATAAAAGTTTCTAATATCTTAATAGATCAAATTTAAAAATATATTACATATTATAACATAAAAACCATTATATCTATTTAACATATAAACCATTATATCTATTTAGCATATAATTAAATTCAATTCATGCATTTCTTCAAAATAAGTCTAACTAATGAAAAAAATATAATTGTTATTAGCATATTATGATTTTATATATTAAAAATTAACAATAATAATATAAAAATATTATTTCATTTTTGCATCTAATAATTCATTTGATTTTGAAATTAGTCAAAAATCTATTAAATTATGTATATCTTAATTTTCTTTTCACATACATATATTTACTTTTTCTCTCTCTTGTCAAAATGAATCTGCAAATATTATTCTAGTCTATATTATTTTTGGTATGTCACAAATGTTTTATATTAATTTTCCAGGTACCAAAAAAAATTTCTTCATTGTTGATTGTAATAGCATTTTGCTTTTATTATCAACATTTCAGTTATATCATATTATATTCTGTTTTAATTGTCCAAAGTTTTCATCCAGTACACATCCCAATGTTGTACTTTTATATTATAATATTCTAATTTTTTCTTTTTTTCATTTAATACATTTCCATATACTTTTCTATTATACATATTTTTTTTCATCTTCATTATTAAATATTGAATTTAAATTCAGATGGTTGTGACTATTTTTCTTATTCATATTTTATTAATCAAAACAATATTTTCTTTATAATGTGAGTAACAAAAATAACATTATTTTAAAATATAATTTTCATTAAATTTAAAATAATTAATAATCAATTTTTGAGAATGCTTTGTTAACATATTATATAATATATATAATTATCTATCTATATTTCAATAAAATAAAAATTTATATTTTATATAAGTTTTATATATATAAATATACATAAATATGTTAAATTTATATATAAATATAAATATATTTTATAATGAAATATTTTTCTCATATGAAAATAACAAAGTTAGTAAAAATACTTTATTTCAAAAATAATAAAATTTATTTGAATTATTTTGCTTTTTTAAAATTGCTTTTTTTAAATTTTAATATTTATTAAATTATATTTATAAAAATTAATATGAATGTTAAAAGTCAAATATAAATACATATAACAAGCACATATAACAATACTTACATAATATGTTTTATAATTGTTTATAACAAAAGAGTAATATACATTCCACATTTTTGTATAATAATATTATTAAATTATTATACAACAATTTTATTAAAAACAACTTAATTAAAAATATCAAAACTCCATAATAAATAAATAGAATATATTATGAAATGTATTCAATTGCAGAATTTTTATAATAAAAATAAGAAAAACATTTATATATATAATATATATATATTTATGTGTTCAAAAATTTTAGAATAAAAATAGTCACAATCAACTGAATAATTTTTTTGTAATAATACAGTATGTAAATATACACGCGTTATATATTAAAAAAGAATGTAGTATTAACAAGGAAGTTTAGCATTACTTATTAATATGATTATAACATATTAATAATTTTTTCCTTTGATTAATCTTAGGAAGTTATAAAAATTTAATAGAGACTTTTAATGAACTGCTATAATTGATAAACAGTAGACTGAAAAGAGATATTCGTGCTATATTTTATGTTATAATATGAGTAAATAAAATAAGTTACAATATTTAAACCTAGTCCACAGGCAATCCATACATAAAAATCCTTCATAAAATAATTATTATAGATTTTTAAAAAATATTGTGTCTTTACAGTTTATATCTTGTAAATGTATTTTATTTAAAATATATTACTTTGTATCATGTTAATAAATTTGGTAATTATTATATTTGTTTTTACAATAACTTCTCTATTTTATGTAATTAAAAAAATTTAATTATAATTTTAATATAAAAAAGTTACATTAAAATATATAAGAATGCTATAATTTTTAAATTTATTAAAAATATTTATAAAAATATATAGAAAATTTAAAACAAGAAATATTATATATAAATTCATAAAAAATTCATAAAAATTTATATTATAAATTCATAAAATTTTATATTATAAATTCATAAAAATTGATTAAATTATTTTGATTGATTTAAATTAGATTAAATAAGTACATAAGCTTGAAATTAAAATTTATTTTTTTTTTATATATATATTGTTCATGACTTGTAATAATATATATAAGAATAAAAATTTACATAAGAATATTATAAGAAAATTATATTAAGCATTAGTAATTCTGAAATTATGTTGCATATTAAGATTTATACATAAGATTTTAAATTTTTTTTTAATAATTTATAAAAATTGTAATTGTAATATATAATTTGTAATATATAATAATTCTTTAAAAAAATATTAAACATATCTGCATTTATTTATATACATACAGTAATGAAAATTTTAATTTTTTAATGAAAATATTCTTTAATATGAATTAATATATTTATTCAAAAATATATGGATTGCACAAAAGGACTAATATATTATTTTAAAATAATATAATTATTTTAATAATTATTTTAAAATAAAATTAAATATTAGAAAAATGTAAATAAATAAATAATATCTTTCAAAAATTTTATTCATATAAAAAGAATTATGTTATGAAAATAAAATTTCAAGAAGAATGTAATGTAAGCAATAATCAAAATAATATATTATTTTGGTCAAAGATATATTATTTTACTTAATGTTGTATATGAAATAAATAAATATATAAATAATCTATCACACATTTAATAATTATAATTATTATAAAAATTTTAATTAGTAATAAAATTTTATAAATTTTTTTTTAAGTAAAAAACACGAATTAATAATGAAATTTTAAAAAATTTTTATTCAGAAGCACGAATTCTCTTTAAGTCTGATTGTATATATATATTAAAAAAATGAAAAGGAAGATGACTTTTTGATCACAACCATAAGACTATTATAAATTACTAAAAATTAATTTAGAATATTATTTTTAGTTGTTAATAGCATTTTGTAAATATTCAGTATATAAGATTTTAAAATTGAATCTTAATTATGAAGACTAGAATTTAGCATAATAGAATTTATTGAATTTTCCAAAGCTATTAACTTGGTAATTTGAACTTAAAAAGTGATATATTAAACTAGCTAATTAAATGTAGGTATGGCATATCAGTTATCAATTACTAATCAATACTTATAATCAATATAAACATTTGATCAGTTTCTTTCTCACTTATTTCCATCCATGTGTGATTTTTTAAATTTGATTACAATTTTTATTATAGTATATTCATTAATATTGAGTTAAAATTAATAATATTTTTTAAATCAATTTAAAAATGAAAAAAAATTTTAATTTTATTTTTATATTATAATATCAATTAATAAAATATATATAATGAATATACTAATATTTAGATATAATTTTTGGCTTTAATTAGATATTAATTTTTGTTTTTAATAATGCTATTTTCTAAATATAAATTTATAATATAATACAAGAGAAATATGATCATTGTTCAAGAATTAACATTGATCAAATCTTAGAAGATAGAAAAACACTTCAGAGCACACATAGACGGGAATTTATGAGAGATTTTGTAGCAAATTTGCATACATTTTATATGATTCAGAAATGTATGGAAAATTAATAGTATAATTTCAAAATTATAAATATCACGAAAGAATGGTAAATTTAATAATCCGCCTTTCAGTAAATAATGAATTAAACTACTAGTATTATATTATATGAAATTGTTTTATCATATATTTACTGAAAATGTATGTATGTGTATAATCTATTTACAATATTGTTTGATATATTATATAAATACTAATTTTTATTAGAATTTTAATCTTTAAATATCAAATTATTCTGTCATGTATTCGTGATAATTTGATATTATCACTAATATAGTTAAAGCTTTTTAAATTGATATTATGTAGTTTGT